GTCAATAGATTCAGGTAACTGATACAGACCATGGCTTACACCATCAATCATGGTGGACTTTATCACCATTCTGTAGGTCTGCATTGACTTGACTTCAGCGATGGTGACCAAGAAAAAGCAGAAAAGAGGGTGTAGAGTGGCACCAATTCTACCAATTGAAGGTGCCTTAAAATGCCATGTGTGTTAGGTTACCACATCATTTACAGGGATTGTCCTAACGTTTCAGATAAAACTTTCTACAGGTGACAGACACCTGTCTTGATCAGACTGTGTTTCTTGGGAAGAGTGATGGGCATCCTATCTAAATGGGCCTGTAGACTCTCAAAAGGCTATTGGCTACAGCAGTATCCCAAATTGTATATTTATTATTGTTGGGTTTTTTCTTTCTTTCTCTAAAAGTTATGACTGCAGTCTGTTTTTCTTTGTCCAAGTAACTGAAGGACCTCAACCAGTCACCAAGTGTAGACGGGTCAGTGTCTGATCCTTTGCTGGTTGCTCTGCAGAAGCTGCTGCTTCCTGGAAGAGTCCTATGGGAGAAAGCTCAAGTCCCATGGGATTTCTGGAAATGAGTATTTAGATCATTTAAACTTGTGAATAGTGTTAATGAGGGTTTTAAAAGAAAATATGGAGAAAAAAAAAAGTAGGTCTTCCCTGGTGGGTTTTAAAACCTTGCTGTAGGAAGACTATTTGGAGGTTACTAATTTGCTGATATTCAAGTTCTTTAATGCATTTTACCACTTTCCAGCATTGTACACTTGACCTTGTACAGAATCTTTTAATAAGGTTGATTTGAAGTATTAAGAACAAGGAATGTCAGAAATAAGCGGGGGGGGGGGGGGGAAGGGAAAAATCAGTTATTAACTTGAATGTAGCAGTAGCTCAAAACCCAGCATCTCTACTTCTCCGTATGATTTTCTTGGGTATTTCTGATTACACCATGACTTTTTATCACGGGAGATAAAAATTATCTTTATCTATCTATTTATTCTGAAAAGTGGTACCCGAATTTGGCAGTCTTCTGAAAAAACAGCCCTAGCTCTAAGCTAGTGTTTGCCTACCTATAGACCTAAAAATGTCTCTACTGTATTTTAGCTTGAAATCAATTTTGACTGACAAAATGCCCCTCAGGAGGCGAACAGAAAAGGCTTGGCTGTAAATATGATACTTCCAGCAGCAAGGTACTCCCACTGCGTAATAAATACTATTTTGTGCTGGGAGGCTGTGTCTGGGGGAAACAATCCCAAAATCCTGATAGAATTTATTCCAAGGCTGGACCACTTGTGTCCCTGATGCAAGTCTTCAAGCAAATATAATGATATATTGTTAAATTACATCATCCAAATGTATTTTTATTTATTTGACAAATTATATAGGCATCTTTAAGGGACTCTGTGTGGTAGGAGCTATGAGAGCCAGTGTTGGAGCAGGACTTTGATGAGTTAAGCTACGGAGGAGTATAAAAAAGCAAAAAGATAGGAAATCATCTCAAAGATTTTTAAATCTAAGACTTTTTTTTGCAGTCTAATGTAAAATCTGGGAACAGAGGCTGACATATGACCTTATCTCTGATTAAAGGTGTCTTACATCTTTTGTATTCACGTTTTCCAGCACAGCTTTGTAAATCATGTCATCAGTATATTTTTATCAGAAAAGTTCCTGGAAATGGTTAAAAAAATACTGTGCTTAAAGTAAATTGTTGGCAGTTTATCAGAAGCAAAATTACTGAAACTTCCTGAGTTGTAAGTGGTGAACTGGGTTACAAATTATAGGAAGAAAAATAATGTATGCATTTTATCTCTTAAATAATGTACTCATGTTTACAGTGATATGATAACACGCTTTGGTAGAGCTTTAGGAATGTTGCCATCTAATTCTGCTGTGGATTAAGGAGTTGAAGCACAGAAGTACAAGGTCTCCTGTCACAGTTTTTGGCATGTGCTCAGGGCAGAGGCTGTGCCCACTTGTGTGCAGCTGCATATCAATTTATGGTTCCAAAATACCCTCTGCTTGTGTTTCCCGATGATGCATCCTAGAAAGCCCCGGCAGCAGCTGTGACCTTTCGCCAAGTCCCAGAGTTTGAAGCTGAAGGGGCTGTAAAATAACCTCAGCTCGCCTGAAGGACAAAATATAGTAGCGGTTGGAAGGAAGCAGGCATTTTCCCATGGGGAAATGGTGGAGGCAAACAGTAGTGATGGAGTTTTCAGAGAGTGAAGGCAATTCCTCTGATGAAGAGTGCTGTTTCTCGGGGAGCAGTGATGAGTACTCCTGCGATGAAGCCCAGAAAGTGTCTGAGTCAGTGCTTGCAAGCAAGGCTTTCACATATTTATTTGTGGCATTTGATGGTGTCCATTTCTAATAATTACTTTTGCATTTAATGCCATGTGCTTCCAACAATTACTTTTGCATTTAATGCCATGCATTCCTAGTAATTACTTGTTGCATTTAATTTCATGCACTTTGCATAGTTACTTTCGAATTTAATGCTGTGCACTTTCAAACTTATAATAATTACTTGTTGCATTTAATGCTAAATGCTGTAGCTGGTGGATGCCTGTTGAAATATTACCTTTCAGAACATGGACTGACAATTTGTTTTGCTTGAAGGTGTCTGAGGTTAATTTGTAGATCAGTGGCATGGCCCTAGGTATGTTTGTCATTTTTATGCCTATGTGATGTGTTGGCAGTGTTTGGAAGTCTGAGTGTGTATTGTATTTCACATCTGATGCACATAAAGGTTTAATGTTTATATAGAGCTGAAAATACGTTGGTTTTTTTTTCCCTTCTGTTTTTAGAAACTTTATGAGATTTTTAATCCTGCTTGCACCCTGTTTGGTGAACATCCACTAACACAAGAGCATCTGAGATTTTTAAACCCACTACAATCAATTTCAATTGTGGAAACATAAAGCTGTTTTCCCCCATTGGTCTCTTCATTCAGTATTTGTGGAATGAGGCTCCTGCATAAGTGGAAAGAGTAGTGTTTGTAGGCGAGGTTGTGCAGGATGGCTTTGGAGATACCCAAACATACGGATTTCTTTCCTTAACACTTCATATGTGAGCCATTTAATCATTCATTTTTTTAAAAAATGTGTGGTTTTTTTTCCCCTGATTTATCAGTTATTTCTAACATAACATGAGGAAACCTCAGAGTTGCGTGACTTTGCATTACAAAAACCGTGTTGTTCCTCCAGTTTGAGTGTTTGTGTGAAGTGAAATGCCTTTTGGGAAAGTACCTTCATTCTACATTTATTTCATGCTGATTAAAAGTATGTATTAAGTTCAAGGTAGTGGAAACCTTAACAGTTACTTGTGCATTTTAATCCCTAATATTAATGTTTATTTAAAATGTTTGAACTGAAGCAACCAATAGCTGTATTTTACCTGTCTGTAATCATATAACTATAATATACTAACTGTAATCACATCTATAATCTGCGACTGTAAAGTTATAAAGTGGCTTTTTGTCACAGAAAAGTATCTGAGATAATGGAATAAATGTGTTAAGTTTTATCTGGAATTATTGAACAACCAAAAGTTTGCATACTCAGTGTATTAATATACTGGCAGAAGTTCACTACAGCAACATAATAGGCTATTAGATATTATCATTCCTTATCCTCTCTATATTTACCAAAGTTTTAGAACTTAATAGATATAATTGTTTTCTGATACTTAGCTACTTCTTTCTACTTGCTTTAAATTACCATAATTTTGTTTATCAGTATGGATAAATTAATACTAATGCACACTTATTTTAATTGAAAATAGACTGGAAGGCAGCATTTAAATGTAGGCTTGAATATTATTCATTTGTATTTCTGCTTGCTTTGTTATAAGGATATTAAAGTAAAGATAGCTCAGAAATAATTAAAGTCAATAATTAATTGAAGTCAATTAATGACTACCTCAAGGGGAGAGTGCATATTCCTGTAGGAGTGCACATGTACCACCCCTTTTTTTTTTTACTATATTACTGCTTTAATATCTCCAGTCTTTAAACAGGGGAAATGCTATTCCTAACAGCATTTTTAAATCTCATTTTCTGCTTCAGTGGTAATGTACAGTGGTTTTCCAGCCTAAATTAGTTAGGTGTGCTTAAAAGAGGTGGGTCTCTTTTGCCTGCAATCCCCTTAATGTTTCCTACATGGAAAGGTTTGGAGTCAATTTGAGTAAAACAGCTACTCTGAATCATGTATGTTTGTTTAGCCAATGCAGATAATGTAACGGCATCTCTTAAACCCTGATGAAACACTGAATCAGTCTGATTAAAATGAATTAACTTCAGATTGTATAACTTGGGCTGGCCACAGCTAAATTCTCGGTGGGTCAGGAAGAGGGGGAATACAAAGCATTTGGTAATGAAGACAAAGAAACAAATCTAAGTGCAATATTTTTAATTTCTGGAAAGCTGGTGAAAATAACCAGCACCGTGTTTTAATGTTGTGACCTTTCAAAAGTTCTTTACTAATCAGGCCCCTTTCACAGGCAGAGTTCCAGCCTCCCCCATGCTCATACAGCAAATGCAAGTCCTATACATTGTACCTACTCTGAGTAGCAGAGCTGACATCCTTCTTAATTAGATGCTTCATGTTCCTGCACTGAGGTATTATGTGGGGTTTCGGAGAGAAGGACATAAGCAGAAGACTAAATGTTCGTAAATAAATTTATGGATATAGCCCATATTTTGATAAAACTGTTTCTGTGCACAAATGTGCATAGTAAGGAATGAGGCTTTGACTAAAACAGGTAACAAGCATGGACTGATGCATAGCTGGATGTCTTATTTACAAGGGGAGCCTGTTTCTTTTTTTCTGCTCATGCATGGTTTTTAGCTTTTGCGGTTTTGAAGCCTTTATGGATGATGAACATCAAATCGATACAGGGGAAAAGCTTTGGAACCAAGAAATTTATTCCTGAAGTGCTTTAAGAATGTGTTTGGAAAAATAAAGATTGCCATGAAAGTAATACAGTTCATTTAAGAAAAGTATTTTTCCTTTCAGGGAGGATGTCAGAACAGCCAATGTCATTGCAGCTGAAGCGGTAACTTGTCTGGTCATAGACAGAGAGTAAGTACATAATTTTCATGCTTTGGGGTGGGGAATATCTCCAGTTCTCACCTTTCACAGTTTTTAAGTAGAGCCTTTGATCATTTTCTCCATTTAATTTTGAGTCATACAGTCACAGTATATATGTGTCCTTGCTGAAGTAGAGGAAAGGTCCTCCTAAATCAAGAAGATAAAACTCAGTAGTGACAAATGCAAGCAGTTAAGTGCAGAAAGACGAAATGGAAATAAATGGGGAGATAGCATTACTGTGGAAATGGATCCAGGCGTTATGCTTGAACACAGATTGCAGTTTTGGTCATCAAAATGTCGTGAAAGTCATCAAGCTTCTGGCAAATGTTAGAGCAAGAAGTTATTCTAGTCTATGTTGGGCTGGAGAGCCTGTGTGGCTCAAAGAAGATAGAAGAGATCAGGAGATCAGGAGACTAAAATAATGTATAGAGAATTTAAAGTAATTTGAGGGGATTAATCTAGAAAAGAAATGCATGGGATCTCCAGAAAACAGTGCTGCAAATTTAACTGTTCTCTACAGTTGTTGGGAATGGGATTAAAACAAAAATAGCATTACAGTGAAAATTCAGCCGACCTCTTGGGGTGGTTTTCTAGTTGTGAGGCAGTAAAGCACTGGCATAGACCATCAAAAGGTGCAAATAAATCTTCCACAGGAATCCATGCAAGAGAATGCAGTATAGATCTGTGAAACCATGAGAGGCGGGTAGATTGAATATTAGATTGAAGCAAATTTTCTTTGCTTCCACTGGTGCAAGAACCCAAAGAAACCTGCAGGAGGGAGGTGAAAGCTAAAAGGAAGTTTCTCTTAACATGGGGATCACTCACAGAGCCATAGGAAAATAAGAAAAGTTTTCGGGTGTTCAAAAGGAAAGGAAATCTACTGTTGTTTTTTTTAATGCATAGGACCTACTCAGGGCTAGGAACTTTCAGAGGGGTGTAAGATAGTACCGAGGCAAATATCACAAATAGTTTCTCTGTCCTTGAACTCCTCCCTGACACGTGGCAGTGTCAAAGCTCACATGCTGGGTTTGGAGTTACCTATTAAGCCCTTATATTATGATGGGATATATGATTCTGGGCTCAAGTATCTTGTAGGGTGATCTACATACACTTAATCCTGCTAAGCTGCAAGTGGTTTGTTTATAGTTATTTTACAGTCCTGCATTTCTAGAAATCTAGTCTTTTGTAATGGTTGAACTGGGGAATGACACTTAAAAAATCCGAGGTCTCCTGTTAACGTTTGTTTATGATAAATAAAAAAAAAATACGGTCTGTCCATTGAAAACAGATGGTGAACTTCAGCACTGTCAGCTGAGTGGCTTTCTTTTCACATAGACAAGCAAGGTAGCCTGGTAGATTAAAGTCACACTATCCCTTATCAATCTGTGAGGCAAAGAGGAGAAGGATTGACATAACTAGATAATTTAGCAAGCATTAATTCAAGTCAATACAAAGCAACAAGTAATTTATGCTTTTTTTTTTTTTCTGAACACTTCAAGAGCTCTTTTGGTCTTGCACTGTAAGCAATTAACTAGTAATTGCAGTCAGTCATTCCTGATCCTTTTACAGACTCTTTGCTTGTCCCTTGTGCCTATTTTTCTGTATATGATGCCCTTGAAATAGTAAGGAATTACAAGTCAAATTTAAACTGATGAAGCTGTAGTTAGTCTGTACCAGAGATTCTAGTGATGCTTGAATTAGTAACAGAGAAACACTATTTATAAGAATTCTATTTATAGTGCAAGAAAAGTAATGTTATTTATAACACTCTGTAGTTCAAGAAAGGTTGTCTTATGTCCTGAGTGGTTCTGACTTTCTTGTCCTAGCTTTTCTCTTAGGATATTATTTTATAGGCATGTGAATAACTGTAGAAGCTAATTTTAATATGGAGAAAACCTACTAAGACTTGTATAAATTTGGAATACTATGAAGATGCTGTTCTGTTAATGAGAAAATAAAGCATTTCTTTAGATCCAGATACACAGAATATTACAACATTTGGTTTGTTATGGTGGTCATGGTAAATGTTCACACAGAGTTACACGCAAGGTGGCATAGGAAATTGGAAGTCACCTTTACTTACAGGAGTTCTGCACAAGAGGAGTGATGCATGTCATTAAGGTTGCCTAATATTTTTTATTACAAGATAAGCTCTTAATCAGATGTGCCTACTGATGCAGACATATTTATGCTCACTGTGTGTCTCGATCAAAAACATTCCAGGAAAATTGATGTTGCCATTTCAAAGAACAACTTATAGGAAAATATCTTTTCCTTAATGGTCAATCCATTTCCCTGAGAAACTGGAGAATTTTAGTCTGACAGTAGGGCTTAATATTACCTGTTGGCATTACCTTGTTATCAGGGTAACTTTTCTGGCTTCAATGTAAAAGTATTCCCAAGGCATCAAAAAATTGTTACACAGAACACCTGAAAACCACACTGCTAATACAGCTGCCGTACTCCCATCTAGTTAACACTTGAACTGTAAGAGTCACACTTTGGTATCACACCAAATTATTTCTAAGACAGATGGAAGACTGGTCTCTGGATTTGGCAATATGAACAATTGTAGGGTTGAACAATTTGCTGACAGGTTTTGAGTGTAATAGTAGAGGAAAGTTTCCTGATAGGGATGGGCCAGGCCACCAAGGCAAGCTCTGGAAAAGTTGGGTTTGAGATAGGACATTGCTTAAGCATGAAAAGATGAAATGGTTTGCCTAAAATCATACCTGAAGTTCAAAAAACATGTATTACAATGCTACAGGGGTGAAGAAGTAGGAGGTGAAAATACCGTGAGGAAAGCCAAACAGTAGTAAGTGATGGGTCTTTCATTACCAAACTCTCATGATGTTGATGTTAACCTTGCTTTTTGATTTCCTTGTGAAATAAGAAGGCCATTACAGGCACAAAAATACAAAAAATATAGCTGTTTCTTGTAAATCTATGTAGACATGCTTTGCAGGAATGGATTTTGTGCAGCCTTTTCTGATGTAGACACTAGCAGAGCTGTGATCTAACAAAGAAAAAGTCTTGCAGTGCTTTTGATGTGTTTTGACTTTGAGCCATTTTTCTACCACTTGTCCTTGTCCTGAAAATATTTGTTAGAAAGGACAAGATTAACATTCTTTCCATCTTGCAATTATCCTTTAAACTGCTTTCCTTTACTAGAATAATGAATTCCAGTGGATTTGATGGATAGACTGTTTGGTGGCTAAGAAATTGCCTGGATGGTCACATCCAGACAGTGGTGGTCAATGACTCAATGTCTGGATGGAGATCATTGATGAGCAGAGTCCTTCAAGAGTCTGTACTGGGACAAGTACTAATATGCACTGGTATAGTGGGATATAGACAGTGCAATCAAGTGCACCTTCAGTGAATTTGCAGTTGACACCAAGCTGAGTGTTGCAGGTAATGCACCTGAGAGACAGGATGTCATTCAGAGGGACCTGGACAAGCTTGAGAAGTATCATGTGAACCTCATGAATTTCAGCAAGGCCGAGCATAAGGTTCCGCACCTGGGTCTGGGCATCCCCCTGCTATCAACAAAGGCTGGGAAAGGAAGGGATAGAGAGCAGCCTTGGGGATACTGGTGAATGAAAAGTTTTACATGAACCAACAATGTGCACTCGTAGCCCAGAAAACCAACTGTATCCTGGGCTGCACCAAAAGAAGCATGGCCACCAGGTCAAGGGAGGTGATTCTGCCCCTCTACTCCACTCTCGTCAGACCGCCACCTGGAGTACTATGACCAGAGCTGGAGTACTCAGCACAGGAAGGATATGGACCTGTTGGAGTGGGTCCAGAGAAGGGCATTCAGAAAACTTAGGAAAAGTTTGACGTGTTCTTTTAAGGTAATGAAAGGAAGAAAAGGTAACAGCATGTAGGTTGATAGCTACAAGGGAAATATATTTATTCAGGGAATGGAAGTTACTGAAGCTCAGCGCATGTGATCCTTGAGCTGGAAGCTGTATAAGGACAGGATATTATACACTGTAGTTCATGGAGGAGAAAAAGCGAGAGTTTGAGCTGCAACTGGAAATGATTCTCGACTTCAGATTTGGAAGACATGGAGAAGTGGATGGACAAAGAACTGAAGCATGACAGACACCACCTGAAGCATTGAAGATACCAGCTGAGACATCACTGGATGGCAAATGTCTCAGTAAGTACCATAGTTGTTCAAAGGTAGCATTCATGAACAGGCAGAAAATGTGACCTAAGAGGGGGAAGAAAGGCACAAATTAATAGGTTTGTTGTGCTGGGGAATGAACATGAGCAGCAGACAGTTACAGAAGACGACAAAGCAAGGAAGAACACCAAGCTTCAGACAAGAATAGGAACCTGTGAAGAAATCCAGGCTGTGTATGAGTGAAGAAGGGAGATTTTGAAGACATTATGGGAAAATATTTAAGGAGTCTGTTGCAAAACTGGGAATTGTGCAAGGAGCTAGAGAGGGCAAACTGAAGCCTCCCAAGCAGAAGGAACCTCGCACACAGAGGTAATGGAAATATGATAGAGGAGTGTATGTCAAAGATACAACTTAGTAATCAGTAGGAAAAATTTCTAGGTAATTTCCTGTTATATTCAAAATTATAACATGTCCATGCACTCTGTCATTGAAGAGAAGGTTCCACCAACCTGATAGGGAAAATATGAGGTGGTGACAAAGCTGATCAAATGAGGATGACAGCTTTGCTCAGCACCTGACAGGCTGGTGTCTTCGTGTTCAAGCTTAATGGTAAGACAGGGTTGATTTAGCCAGGCTGTCTGGAGGGAAGGAGATATTCTTCCTTTCAACCCATAAAACATAGAGGGAGGCTTAGAAATTGGCTTCAGAAATTCAGCAGAATCCACATATTATTCATGGTAATTGTAAAATGATACATCTGACCAGTTCAAGGAATGGTAGAAGCCTTTGGATAGTTGGGGAGCCAGGCAGCTCATTGCAAAATATACAGTTCTCTTCTGATCAAACTTATTATCTAGGTAAACATACTAATATTTTATAACAGTTATTAGTTGTCAGATGTCTTTTATTCATTTTTATTTCCAAGAGCAATTTTTTCTTTACAATTCACATGCTTTCTGTGTTTATTACTTGCTAAGAGCCTATGTGAAATAAAATCAAGAGCGTTGCTAGTTAAGTTTCCTATTGTGATACTGCAGTAATTCATCCTTTGGGAAGAAACAAATTGTGGGAGATTCACAGTGTTGTTGGCTCCAGTGTGTTTCAATCTTGGCCCTGTTGAGTTCATCCTAGGGAATTTTCAGGCTCCCTGGAGGGGTTATTAGATTTGTTGCAGAAGCAAAGATTACTTGACTGGGGAAAAGTTAATAATTATAATGTGCTGGCTTTAGTGGATTGGTCCTCCAAGAAATTTTCTATAAAACATCTTCTGATAAAAACTGTAGACACAAATGGGACAATTTTGAGTATCTGTTCTGTAATTGATTTGCATAAGCATGTACAGACACTTTATTTGCAGCTGCTTTTTATGGGGATAAAGCAGGAGGAAAAGGTTCAAAACTCATTTCTAACATTATGATCATCGTTGGCCCCCCTGAGAGAGAAGTTAGTGAAACTTTTTCAGTATTTTTTTTCCTTCACACATACTTCTTGAAATTGGAAATATTCATTCTTCTGAGCTGTAAAAATATTTACACCAAAGTTGATTTAAGTTCATCTTTTATTTATATACGACTATCTTTACATATGACTTATGTTGATAACAGTATTTTCCTGGAGCGCTGAGCTTGACCAGGTGTAAATTTTGTGGGTGCTGGGAGTACAAAAATATCTAATGCAAATGTTAGAGAAGCTGAAGGATAACAGCCACTAAAACTCAAGGCACAGCTGCTGCTGACAGAGGCCAGTAGTGCTGCAAAACTATGTGGTGTTTGCAGGTATTGAGTGCTAAATGCTGTTTTTTCTGCTTATTGTCTTCTTTAGTTAGACATAGACAGGATTTTTAAGGAAGCTTTGTAAATATTTCAGGTACTTTCAAATTCTTCACTTTTGAGTTTATGTTTTCTGTGTTTGAAAGCCTTATTTTGTTTTTCAACAGGGATAGCCATGAGATGTCAAGAAAGGTTACTGTATCAACTGTGTCCTCTTGGCAACGGAAATTGGAAAAAATAAAATAAAAAAGTATTATCCTTACATGACTGACGCTATACAAGCTGAGCTGAGTTCCCTCATTGGGTATTTTAGGTTTTACTGTTTTTCCCAGTTAGGGTGAAGTTTATCCATGGAGAAAATTGGCTGTGAGGAGAGAATAGAAAAAGCGAAGAGAGAAGGCTATGCAGAATAAAAATACTGAGCAGTTTTCTGATTAAATTCTTGGGGAAGTTGTGAGCAAGATGATACTTCAACAGCACTGAGATGGGGAATAAAAAAGTGACTTGAGTGAACATCAGTATCTTGCTGAGTCCTAAGTCTTGCTTAACATATTTTAATAAAAACTTAAAAACTTACTGGTATTAGACAAACTGTTATTCAGTTTGGTGACTTTTTTTTATTTGCCTATTTAATGTTTCACTAGACACAGATGTATTTGCATTGCCAAAAAACATTAAATGTTTAACCCTGCCACATTTTCCTAACCACATGAAAGCAAAGCCAGACTAGCTATTTTAAATTGCATTTTAAGCCTTAGGTCATGTCTCATAGCATTCCAGGAGGATTATGGTATTCCTGTCTCTCACTTAATTGCCTAATTATCTGTTTGTGGTGCAAATGAGCATTAACATACACATCTTGCTTTGTGTTTGGCCTCATCCAATGGCACATCTTCAGCACAAGAAAGACAAATGTTGATGTGTTGAATGAGCTGAATTTGTCATATTTTCACTGCCGAGAAAGGAATTTGGGGTTGAAAAGATACTCTGGTGATTAACATGTCTTCATACTGAAAATTATAGCCTGCCTAGCACAATTTCTGTGCACGAGTAAAGGGTTTTTCGCCTTCTCTTCCTCATTAATGAGTTCCTGTTGCTTTCCCTGTGCTGCATAAATTATTTCCTAGATTTTATCATTTAAAATATTATGAATTAAAGAAAATTGAAAACTCAGGGAATTTGTGTGGGCAGAGGATATTTCCAGAGTGGTGATGACTGTAATTATGCAAAAGGCCACCCTGGAAAGGTCCATTACAGCAGCTGTAGATACAAACCAGTACAAATACCTCCCCGACTGTGGCCTTTTGCCTTATATTTATTACAATAATGATTAAAATATGTTTTTTTTTCCAGCTGCTGTTCATAAAACAAAATAATTAAGCCTCCTTTCATTTGTCTGGTAGTCGTATCATCACTCACCACACATGTGCACGGGGTGCCTTGCTTAGGGTCAGGCATCTCCTGATACAGCAGTACACTTAAGTACCCACTTAAGACCATACCACGTGTTTAAGCTGCTTGGGCAAAGTGCGGTCCAAACAGTTTAATTGTGCTCAAAGGCCAAAGTCACCCTGGTTAACCTTGTGTGTCACAGGATATTGTGTTTCCCACAGCTGCCCTCTACCCAAGCCAAATACATCAGGCTGGTGAATGCTGCTTATTGCTGTGTTTTCACAAACAGCTGGGATTTGGAACTCTTCAGCTAGTAGGTTTTTAATATGCCGCTCTTTATCCTATATAATATCAAGTGATCTGAGACCAAGTGATTTAGGGGAGGAAATGCAAACGACCTGCACACCGTTACCTTTATTAACCTGCCCTGTATCTTCCTCACCCACTGAATAGCATTAATTGCTTTTCATCCTAAAAGTCTTTGTGGAGAGAGGGCCATACTAAATATACTGTTCTTCTTCCTAAATTTATAAATATGGCCTTAAATGGTGATAGTTTTTCTCAAAAATTTTTCAACTTTTCAATTAAGACTTTTTCAACTTCTTATTTGCCATTTCTGTTCTTTGTTTCTATGTTTGGTGCCTCAGGAGTGTCACGAATGTATAGAAGCCAGACGAACTGCAAGACTTTAATTTCTGAAGCTGTGACCTTAAGGCAGAGATTAGTCAGGAGACTGTAGTTTACAGCACTGTCCTTTCAAATTAGCCTAACTGTTTTCTCATTTTACAAGTGGTGCTTTCTATCTTGAAAAAAAGAAAGCCTATGTGTGGTAGACATGCTAGGAATAATGGAAATATATAGTAGCAAACTATGCTTTGTACCTGGAATATTTTCAGTTATAGGTATTAATTCATTTCAGTTATTAAAAATACTCAGTTTCTTATTTAGTCTCTGATACTGTGTAGTATCAATGCCAAAGACATAACAGCTGTATTTTAGGGTTCTTTTCCTCTGGAGTGTTGCTTGTTAATTCATTAAATGGTCACTGAGTCCATTTGTTTGAGTCACCCACAATATAAAAAGATTTTTAGGTTCTTTTTCTCATATGTCTGTGCCTTTTATATATCCCCTGGGACAGAGGATGGTGTCAGGGGACGTCTCAAGCTACTCGCAGCTTGTGCAGAAGACAGCTCAGCACTTAGTGTATCAGGCACTCCTAACATTTCATGCCATCTCACTCAGTTTAAGCCAATTGAAGTCAAATTTCCACTTAAATGTCATTAAGAAATATGGCTGATGATAATTTGCCTGCCTCTTTTTTTTCATTTGTCTTTGCTGTGGTTTTGGCTGCAATTTGTCAAAAAATGAGAAAGCCAAAATACAGAAACAAAGATTATCCTTCACTTTGAAAGCAGAGGGACTTCTAGGGCTTCTGATTGGAGGACAGGGATATGGCAGTGGCACCTTACCATCATGGGACTTACCAGGCACATTGACAGATTTACTCTGAAATTTATATCGGAGGGAGGAAAAGCTTCAGCAGTAATTTCAGTAGGTTCGGTTCCTAAAAGAGCTGGATAAATAAGTTTTGATTTTCTTGATATTAGTTATTGCATTTCCACCTCTTCTCCAGCATTTCTGAGGTCATAATTCCCAACAGATGCACAACCCTGGCCCTGGTTTGATCAGTCACAGCCATCCCTAGCATTGAGGTATGGCCCCTGGTTGCTGCTGAAGAGCTGTGTTGGCATGCTTGGCTCGCAAGCAGAGACTCATCCACTAAAAATGCCCTTTTATTTTTACAGCTCCTTCAAACATTTGATTGGTGGCCTAGATGACGTTTCCAATAAAGCCTATGAAGATGCAGAAGCAAAAGCAAAGTAAGTGCCTGCTCTGTGTTTAGCATAAAATCTTAATCTTGCTTTTATTGATGGTACATCACTGCAATTCAAAAAATACTCTGCTTTGTCTTAACATAATAGTATAAAACAGCTTAAAAAGTAGTGGATCAGACCAGTGCCAAGAGCCAGGTGGTCCCAAGGTCCATCTTAATCACACTATTTGATTCCTCAGAAGTACTGGATCTTCAAAAAATTCTCTTAAATAATTTTAAGGTGAGAAATTACACATCTTTAAAAGCTCTCATAGTGAAGGAAATTGTTATCGAATACTTTGAATTGTTCCTTCAGAGAACTCTGATCTTTCTCAGACATTTTCACAAAGTCAAAACATGTTCTGAGATAAAGAATGGGAAATTGATTTTGTCATTTTTGAATGAACACTAGGGCTATCTTAATGTGAATTAATATATTCATCTAAAGTCCTACTATAAATATTCATTCCTTTCAGAAGTGAGCTGTAGTGTATTATGATTTTAAAATATTTGCAGAAAAATCCTACTCTATATTCGTTCTTGATCTAAAATTTGTTTTTAATAAGAAAGCTTTGTTATGTCTGTACTTTGATTGTATACCAACAGTAAAGCTTTTGAAGAGGAACATGTTCTGATTAGAGGAATTCTGAATATTAGCCAGTATGATTCAAAGGCAAAAGTTGTTTAAAAGAAAACTGAAGTTGCTTTATACAAAATTATTTTACTTTCTGCCTTCAAAATTATTTTACTTTTTCTCTTTTAAAATAATTTTACTTTTTTATTTTTTTAATTACCACAGTAAAAGAGTGGATAGGTGTTTTCTTGAAGTCAAATGCTCAGTGTGACTGTTAATAAGGGTTCTGCAGCCATCTAAATTTAAAATTGCTCTTAAGTTATGCATAATATCTTCTTATTAAACAAGAAAGGTTTGAAATAGTATATAACAAAAGATATTTGACACAAAATTAGAATCCTTAACTAGATAGTTGATTAAAAATAACTTTTTGTTTGTTGGTTTCAGAAGCTAAATATGCATCCCAAGAAACTTAGTTTCTTAAAAAAAAGACTTGCTAATACTACAGAGTACCCACAAATTGAAATAGTATCTTCTTTTTTATCATCATTGAGTGATATTTGAAATACATTTTTAATCATGTTTAATGTATTTTAAGGTACTAGAAGGCACCATAGGGTTTGGAACTGTATTTCCCAGCCCCAAATCAAATATGTAAGCTTTCTTATTAGAATGTTTACATTCCTTTAAAATGGAGTTGGTATGCAGGAGGCTATCAGTCTTTTTTACCATCCCAGAAAGTATGTATTTTGAGCACAGAATGCAAAGTGAAATAGGGACAATGCTGTAGCAGCAGATAACTAGGTATTAGATATTATGGATATATATGTATTATCATATATACTAGCTATTAGTAGCAGCTGAAAACATGGTATTTCAAGGACAGTATCAGCTTATGCAAAGCAATACAGCTTCAGAGAGAGTCGGAAGTATGTCAGGCATGTGCTATTATTGTTTTAGATTATTTTTTGTTTGTTTTAGTATTACTATTTGGATTATATTGATTTCCATTTGAACAAAAGGAAAGAAAACATTGTAATGAAACTGGGGATTTTTGCTTTTAGTAATCACAGAAGCTTTTATAAGGTTACACCTTTAGCACCAAGCGTAATTTGCAGTACGGACTCACCATTCCCCATTTCATAGTTTGTCTTTTCACATCTATGAATTTAAGCTTTATGGAAATGTTTGTGTATGTAGGTTGTATTGGAGGCTTTTTTAAGTTAGTTCTGAGTTTTAGGGGAGGGCTTTCAGGATCCCCTGGGCACTTTATAACATGTGTTGAGGGGACTGCAGTTTTGGACCTGTGTAGAATAAACTCTTCATTTTGGGAACCAACTCAGCAATTGTTGACTTTAACATTTTTTAGTTTTTCTCTTTATTCCTCTTCTTTTCTTCTAAAGCTGAATATTTCATCCCAGTGGAAGGGCAAAGCAAAGGATTCCTGGTGATAGAGGAATTGTTCCCCAAAAAGAGAAATCAATTAATTTTGATAACAGTTTTTCTATCTGAAAAATCAGAGGCCTGTGCTTGTGTCCTGTCACTTGAGACTGTAAGTGACAGTGACATTGCCCTTTGCATATTGACACTTTGAAAAAGCAGAAGGGATCAGTGCTGGCTGACTGGAGAAACATTTAAAAATAGGAATGCTCTTTCTAAAGATACAGCATTTATTAGTCAAATATTTATGTGAGCTCAACTCCTTGAAAGCAAGCGCATGCCTGCAAAAAGATGAATGGAAGAGATAAAAATGGCAAAGTTACTTGGAGAGTAAAGCATGATGCATTGTAACCTGTTTCAGAAAATTTTGTCACCCAAGGGTTACTGTTTCTGTATCTCACAAGGTAGAACTCCTCTGGCAGAAAAGTCTTCTTGGCACGGATTTTAACCTGGATTACTTTTCAAGCAGCTGTTAATTAGTTCTTCAAGGGTTTATCCTTTCCAAGGGAAAGTTTGTGAAAGGGAGGAACTCGGCACACAAAGTACATTCAGATTTACTGGGGCTTTTCACAACTCACATTAATTACACACACACACACACACACACACACACCCCAACCCCCCCCTTTTTGCAACTCTCATTTTCAGTGCTTCTATGGCAGGTGGCAAAAGGCCTTTGGATGGATAGAAATTTTCTGTATATCCATGTCTCACCGTATCAGGATGATCCACACAAAGGTCAGATGTAGTGACAAAGTAAACACACAGGATATTGTTGTGAGATGTCATTAGCGTCAGAACCTACTTTTCCTGTACACATTTTGGCCATTTTCAGGGCCAAAATATGTACAGTTTAATATTTTCTTATTGGTTGCGGTCAGTTGAGAAACATGAACTGCAGTGATACATATAAAAATATTTACAAAATGGTAGCCAGTATATTTTCATATATATCTACCATATCAAGGTGATTATTAAATTTCTGTTAATTTGTAGGCCCCTGTTCAGCAAAAGCACAGATTTAGAATACACCTAACGCAATATACCGTAACCATGTTCCTGAAGTAGGACTTGGGCCATGGGCAGGAGCTCATTGCATATATGCCTAACAAATTGGTGGCACTGGCGGGTTTTTTAATCTCCATGTTGCAGTGAAACCCTGGTGTCACAGAGCTGGTAGTCCCAGCGCAAGGCATGAATGAGAGGATGTTGGGCAAAAGTTGCAGGGTCAGAAGATCTTTCCATGTAGCCTGGAGCCCTTTAGGTCTTGAAAGGGGTGAACTTTTTGTTGGCTTTATCTCTTGGCTAGCTGGTGTTTTCTCAGCTAAGCTTTGAGATACGATTAGGATGCTCCTAGGACCTGCAAAAATACTCTAGGAATCAAACTGCTGTAGACAACTCAGGTATCCCTTCCTACCTTTGGACACAGTTTGAAGGAAACAGCGAGGCCCGCTCAGCTCTTGAAGGCAAAAAAAAATACCTATCACCATTCAAAAATAGTTAAACTCAGCAGAGGGTCTTCCTACACCACTAAATGAGGTGTCACAGGGGCACCATGGCTTTAGGTATCTGTATACTGGCTGTGGCAGTTGTTGGTGTCTCTTTTCTGCATGGGCACCTTCAGATTGTGTCCTAAATGCCTGGCTCTTGGCCTGCACGGGCAGCCAGGATGCCTAACACAAGGCTGTGTCAGTACTCTAGTGGGAAGGTGCCCAGGAGTCCCTGCCAACCAGACCTAGAAGAAAGATATGTTCTTCAAGGGCTTTGGCATTCCCTCAGGAGGACACTTCTCTGTCTAGGAAAGCACGTGGGCACCTGGGACACTGAAGGCAGTGGAATTCAGCACAGTTGTTCATGTGCCCAAGCTGAGTCATCTTTGATGACGCTTTGTGAGTTAGTTTCCTGAAATTGAGGCTTTCATCTAAATGGAAGAACCCTTTTTCATCCTCAAGATTACAGAAGTTGTCTTTATAAAATGAGCTTACTCCAGCACCAGAACTGATTTATTTCTTTATAATTAATACCTTACTACCCAACTAATGCCTATTTTGGAGACGCTTTTCCCTGTTTTTTGCAAATTTGGGATTGGTAGTTCTCCTTAACATCCATTCTTTGTGTTCAATCTCTTAATTCAGAAGTCATAGAATCATAGAATAGTTAGGATTGGAAAGGACCTTAAGATGATCTAGTTCCAGCCCTCCTGCCATGGGCAGGGACACTTTGCTCTAAACCATGTCACCCAAGGCTCCATCCAACCTGGCCTTGAACACCACCAAGATGGAGCATTCACAACTTCCTTGGGCAACCCCTTCCAGTGCCTCACCACCGTCACAGTAAAGAACTTCTTCCTTACAGCTAACCTAAACTTCCCCTGTTTAAGTTTGAACCCATTATCCCTTGTCCTATCACTACAATCCCTAATGAAGAGTCGCTTCGCAGCATCTTTGTAGACCCCCTTCAGATTGACTTATCACCTGTGAGACTATATAATTAATATTCTACACTTCAGATGTATTCAGATGAGTTACATTCATTGACTAATGAATATTATGGTTACATAATATTTCTCTTACCAGAGAAAAGGTGAAGGAGAGAGGCAAACATTCAATTTGCTTCACATTCTGAGAAACACAGGAGTTTCAGCAGAACAGCACTTGTGTCCCAGCATCAGGCCCAGCCACGTTGGTATTTAGGGCATAAAGGAGCTACCTAAATGAGTAGACACCCGTTTAAGTGTAGATTATTTCCAGATAGAGCCACTACTGCAGTTCTCATAAATCCAAGAGGAAAGAGGTGGTTTCTACTGCAGTTGTTGGTGACAAGTGAAGTGAGGGTTCAGCAAACACCGTTAGCTCCAGGCACATGAACCCCTTGTGCTGATGTCTTCCCTGTCCAGAAACTCCTGAAGTTTATCACTGCATGCTACTTTCACCATGAACAAAGTCATCAGATGAGGACCCCTATAGCTTGGTCCCACTTTTCCATGACATGGC